CTGAAAAATATATGTAATTCTTCTTTGTTGGTAATGCAGTACCTTAATTAGCTAGCTTTGTTAAAAGCTCCAATTTTTCTTTTCATTCCATTACAATCACTTTCTACCACACTGGACTTATCTGGACTTCACTTTTTGCTCCTATATTCTTTAATTACTAATACCGGGGTTTCTTTATTTTGTTCAGTTTACACATTCATTAGTTTATACCATGTTCCTTGAGTTGCCTTGTGTAATTAGTTGGAAAGTGACAAATCATGAGTTGGGCATTCTATATAAAATTTTAATATATGATAGTTTTAATTTCTTCTTTCATGTTTCTTCAATTTTGGAGTTATTTTTACTTCAAACACTATGAAATGTTTAGCATATATATATATTTTTTATATGCTTGTAATAAGCAAAACCGCAAGCGGAGAAACGGAGAACTACACCTATTAACAACTATGATAAGTTGCTAGAGTTGTTTGTAAAAGATAGAACAACTGGTGATGGGCTGCAACTGCTAATGAGAAACGTTTTCAATGGGCTAGCTTAACCAATGACGAGTTAATGGGAAGCATTGATGGTATTGATCAGCTAGTAGCAGAAAATGAGGTGACTTTGGAGAATGCTGAGCATGTGGCTGATGAGATTGAAAGGACAATGTCCCCTGAGGCAACTTCTATTGCATCTTTAAGTGCAAAAGGAAAGAGGAAACGGACTTTACGTGGTGTCTCTAATGATACCTAAGAAATAACAAATGCAATTTCCTCTGTTGCAGAATCCATTAAAGAGGGAAATGCTTTTTATGGAAAATATAATCGTAAGGTGCATTCAAAGGAGGAAATCTATAATGAGCTGGAATCAATTGGACTTAAGCCATTTTTAATTGATGATACTTACTTTTGTCTTACTAACCATCCTGATCAAACGAGGATATTCCTTGGTGTTCCAGTTGCAAGGCGTAAGAACATTTTGGAGAAAATGATGTATGGAAGAATATTTTGGAGAAAATGATGGATGGTTCAACATGATGCTGATTGATGATGGGTAGGATGTATGGTTCAAAATGATGCTGATTGATGATGGGTAGTCTTTCTTTTTGTTGGGTATGGGTTCCTTTTTTGAGAAACACTTCTGGGAATGCTATGAATTCCTTTTTTTTTTTGGTGAAACTTTGTGATGCTATATTATGGAAAAATTATGTATTGGAACATTTTTACTATGATGTAATTATTATTATCTACTCTTTTGGTTATGAAATTTTATAATGATTATACTTTTGGTCTCTTGGTTCTATATAGCAGGTGATGTTTGTGTTTATTGGGGTTTCTTTTGTTGGTTCCGTAGCATTCATTTTTCATTGAAATTGGGGTTGTGTTAGTAGACTATCAAAGCAGAGCGAAATAGGAAATTATGCTTCGAATTACAACATATACTATTGATTTCTCTACTTCTTATTAATGTGGTGTATAGAGTTATGGGAAGTCTTCAGTGCTGGAAAGCATTGTTGGGCATGATTTTCAACCCAGTGTTGTTGATGGAACAAGTACGTGTTCCATTTTATGTGATTACAATTGTTATACTTTCATGCTCACACAAGTACGGTTGTATGCCCTAAGAAATATGTGAAAGTTCTAGAGGTCAATTGGTCCTTTTTTTCCCCGAAAACTAGTGATTAACATACAATCTGATTTTTTATATACTTGTTGGCATTACATTTAAGAATATTGTTCTCTGACAAGATTAAAACCTCTATGACAACATTTTTTGCTGCAACCTGCAATCTCATGAATCTCAACTTGAAAGGTTTTTCACTTTACTACTCTCTCCCTGATTTTTTATTTTGTTAAGTATTGACCATTGGGTTTTTTCCTTTTTAAACCAGGTCTCAAATATGAGTACAAACCAGTTAATTTGCTGAAATAAGAGCTCTTAGTCCTGGTGAGAATAATATATATACGTGTATATATATGCATATAGTGGCTTATGAGATTTATTATAGTATTTCGGCTTAATTATATGATACTATGATGATGAAATATGACATTAATAATAATAAACATATTGGGTGTCCGGCTTTAATGTTATACCATAGACATTCTAACTTCAATTATTTTTATTTTTATTTTTTCTTGTTCATAAATTACAATCAATAACTTTCTTTTCATGACGTATAATTATCAAAGAAAGTTACCTTGAGCTGGAAATAGACATGAATTTTAAAAGGTGAATTTGGAAACGCAACACTAATTGGATATGTGCTTGTCTTCATAAAATACATTTTTTGATTTTGGTTTATTTTATACACCTCTATAAGAGAAATTTTATGAAAAAGGAGGAAGGGGGGAGGGGGGCAGCCAAGTGCACGAGGCTTCCACCATTATAAGAGAAAATATGTATAACTTAATTCTGATCTATTGCTTGTAATCTTTTATATGTTCAGTTTGGCTTTACAAAATTGAGTCTTGAATCATTGTCACAATTTTTAAAAAGTTGGCCCAAAAGTTTTTGGATGCTAGCTCCATGTTTTTTTAGGGACTAGACATACACTTATTTTTTAGTCTTCATATGGCTTTTTAACATGTTCTCAATTTTTTTTTTTAGTACAGAATTTACAAAGCTCAATCCTATTGGTTATGTACCGGTGCTGGTAGATGAAGACATTATAGTTGCTGACTCTTTTGCGATCTTAATGGTGAAAAGACTTTTATTCTCGTTGTCCTTTGATGTGAATTTGACTCTAAAATGTCTTGAACTTCACCAAAAGGATTATTGTATGTGCATTGTGTTGTATAGTATCCAGAAGAAAAGTATCCTCAACATCCACTGTTGCCTCATGATCTTCAGAAAAGAGCAATTAATTACCAGGTAAATTGCAATTGGTTTGTTACTCTTCCAAAATTTGGTTTCTTTTTTAGTGGACTATATGTATTAGCAATTTGGCACCAGCTTGATAGTGTTGACAAGTGGGTGTACAAATAAAGCAAGAATTTGTGTGTTTCTGCCTTCAAAATTGCTATTTGATGTTGGCTGATAAGCCATAGGTGTATATTTTTACTTATCACTTCTTATTTAATATTGGTATGATTTTTATGATGATGCCTATAGGCAATTTACAGCAGTATATTTGAGTCCTAATCATTAAATTTGCCTTTATACTAGTTTTTTGCTTAGATGTATTGGGCATATAAGCTGTCACAGGCCCTAGAGACTATCTAACACCGGTTCTGTGATTCTTGAATTTATACAATTCGATAGGTGAAATTGAAGCATTTGTGATTTTCTTTGAATTTTAAAGGAAGTAACGATGTAGATTTAAGTTATAGAGACCTGATACTGAACATGCTAAATTTGAAGTAAGCCAAGTGCTTAATTTCTGTTGCCACCTATTTAATATTCATCATGCATTGTTGAGGGGTTTATACTTGAATGCAATGGAGTCTTTACCTGAAGAACGTGGTGGGTAATTGTATTTAAAATACTAAAAGAAATGTAAAATAATTGAATTTAAAATTAGGTTTTGGATTTGATGTCCTCGTGTTTGCTTAGAAAGCTGTCTGAAAATGGCATCCAATTGCTCTGTCATTCTAGAAACCTCAATGTCGTATATATTTGTTCCCTATTTGAAATAAGCGATACTGCGTGTCATGAATTAGTTGACACTCGGAAACTCAATTCGACACTTGAATCTTCTAGGTTACAGCATAAGTGTTGTGCTGTATTGAACAACTAGTCCTAGTCACCCACAAGCATCACACTTGTTGTGCATATACAAAAGCAAAGCAAAAGGTGGTAAAGCTCTTTCCTTCTTTCTTACCTGCATTTTACCATTGCCGCAATGACACTATAACTGATTCTTATTTCTCATTTGCTTTCTCCAGTTCCTAGCAAGTGAACTAAGCAAGCTCGACTCAACTTTGTAAAGGAGGCTCCTGAAAACCCAAGAAGTGGGTGCTTTGTGAGGGGCATTGTTCTTCTTCTGCCATCGAGTTTTTGTTCGTTTTTTTGGTGCAAGTGCTCACAAGGAGATGAGAGATGATGGAAGTACACCGGTTTTTCTATACGTCTGAAAAAACACAACTTTTTGAGGGTTAATTAATTTGTTCTAATAATGTTTTTATCAATTTCTATGTATTGCGCAGATTATGGAGGTGGCTTGATTATAGGCATTGTACAGAATGCAAATTAATGTCCATACATTACATTATTTTCATTTAAATATATTGTTATAGCTTTTAAAAATAAGTGTCATTATTATAGATTGGGTTTACTGAGTAATGAAACCACAGGTCCCTAAATTTAGTGAAAACTTTGTTTCCTCTATTCTTTTTACAAAGTGTTCAATGGAAGCCCAAACACATGTATAAATGGAAGGAAGGCAACTATTAGTGTCTTCTATAATTTGTGGATCATGTACTTGTTAACTGATTTTGAGGGAAAAGTTCTGGTTGGCCTATTATGCATGTACTTGCGTGTTTGTTTTACAAAAACCAAATTTACAGCTATTATATTGCCATCTCTTTGGCAGCTCCATTGGGACTCAGTTGAGCTAGAGATAATAAGCAAAATGAGACTGAAAAGAGACAATGAGTTTTTCAATATTGATTTGGAAATAGATGATGAATGTAGAATTTGCTTAGAACCGAATCTTGGGGCAAAAATTTTGTTGTATATTTAAATCTCAAAATTTATCTTTTAAAATATAAAAAGGGTATAATAGTAAATTTATAATTATCCTTCCATTTTCTTTCTTTTCTCAAACATGGTTATTATCCTTCCCTTTCTTTTCCTTTATTAATTAACCAAACACTATTGATGATTAAAATTATCCTTCCATTCTCTTCCCTCTCCCTCTCTCTCCCTCTCCCTCTCCTTCATAACTAATCTTATCATTCCTTTCAAACCCACCTTACCAATCAAACCCACCTTACCAATCATAGCCTTGCCCTTAGAGATGCCATATGTGTAATTTACTTTCGATAAAGGGGCAGTTTTGCAACTCTAGAGAACCTTAAACCCTAGAAATATGTTACTCCGTCCTCTCCACCGTCTTGAATCTTTTAGTTTAGCTGTGATGGGTCGAAAACACAAAGCAACTGCTCTTCCCAGCGAACCACAAGCCCTAGACATCACAGACAACCATGAAATCAGTCCTCAGAAGAAGAGCAAGAACAAAGCTGAAGCTAAGCATGAGAGGAAGCTTCAAGAGACTGAGTCTAAGGTTGATATAGAGACCAAGACGGAAAAGAAGAAGAGGAAGAAAGAGAAGAGAGAGAAAGAACAGGAGTCTTTGAATAATGGGTTGGTGGTTGATTGTGGTAAGACAAGTGAAGCAATTAATGGGTCCGATGAGATTGGCAGGAAGAAGAAGAAGAAGAAACACAAGGGAGATAGAGAAGAAGAGAGTTTGAACAATGGGTTGGTGCTTGATGATGCTCAAAACTCTGATAAATCAGTACCAAAATGTGATGAATACAAGAAAAATGTTGCCTTTGTTGATGTGGAGGAGAGAGAAAGTGATGGGGGTGTAGTGGTGTCTGGGATGGATGTAAACGATTCGAAATATGGGGCATTAAAATCGTTTACCGAGTCAGGGCTTGCTGAGGATGTGCTTGAATGCTGCAAAAATTTCGAAAAGCCGTCACCAATTCAGTCCCATTCTTGGCCTTTCCTCTTGCAGGGTCGTGATTTTATTGGGATTGCAGCTACTGGATCAGGTATTGTCATGGTGTCTTTTTTAATTTCCATAATGCTGCAAGTATAATTTTGCTGTTTAGGGGTATTGTGTATTTACTTTTTTCTGATCAGGTAAGACATTGGCCTTTGGTGTTCCGGCTCTTGTGCATATTTTGGATAAGCGAAAGCATAACACATTGAAGAGAGTGAATCCACTTTGCCTTGTGCTTTCACCTACAAGGGAGCTAGCCCAACAAGTATGGAATTCTCTGTTCTGTTCTTAAATTGAATTCTAGTGTAAATAACTTGTTAATTGTATATGATTTTTCTTTTTCCGTTTGAATTTATTCTTAAGGTTTAACATGTCCTGCTTTTCTTTTCTTTTTCTACCTAAAATTTTGTACTTGGGGGTGGTTCAAATAAAGTGTAGTTCATGATTCTAATTGCAAAATTTTAAAGAAGAAAGCAACTTGTGCAGAGGATGATGCTGTCTAGCATAGTTGGTAGGCTGTGGAAGGAAGTAATTGTAAAATGTATCCGTGTTTTCTCTTAAGGGGTGAGCACCCTTTTCACCTCCTTGGCCATAGGAAAGAAAATAAATTATATTGAAGGGGTTAATTACTTCATCATAGTTGAGATTATTGTATATGTATTAATGGTTTACATAATAATTGTTTTCAAAGATCCTGCATTCTGTTGACTTCACATTTATTTATTCAAATATTAGGCGATGTCTTCTATAAAAGGTCCGTAGCAAATGAATTTGAGAGCGCTCTAATTCTTTTGCTCTTATTCATTTATTCGTTGCAAATTTAGAGTAAATGCCTTCATAAGATGCTACTCTTGATTTGGTTTTTGAGAAGTATTAAGTTAGTTGTCATAATTCTATCAAATCGATTGACCAATGCTTATTCCTTTTGTAGTTTTAATTCCCATTTTTATTGTTTAGGTGAAGGAAGCCTTGAGATCTCATGTTCTTTTCAGTTGTTGTAATATTTCTTTTTTCAGACCACAGTCTTTCTTATTTTTATGTCTTTCGGTTTTTCAAAATTGTAACTTGTCACTTATCCAAAAAAGAAAAAGAGCAACTTGTCATGGAAAAAGGATGAAGGAAGTAAAGAAGAATGGCTTCTCTTTCTATACAAAAGAAAAACTCTTAGTTTATGGTAGAGAACCGTACCAAAAGGGCCTCTAGTCCAATGGTATAACTAGTGGTTCGAACATGGGTGTGGGCAAAAGTGTGAGTACTTACCTGATCAAAAAAAAAGAAAAGAAAAAAGAGTGTTGAACTGTGTAAATAAATGAGGAGCACTAAGTGTGAAACCAAAGCATGAAGTTAGAATTGTCATGCAAATTGGACCAGGAGTGGAAGCAATTACTTCAGTAAAGTTTGATGGTTTGGAAAATATTGGGGGTATTGATGGACTCATTCATGGACACATCTTAGACAAGTGTTCATATATATTGTAAAAAGTATCTTTGGAATAAACAGTTAGAAGATAAATTCACTGGGCTTTGGGATGTGACGTTAGGGCCTAGGAGTTCTTCCATTTCGATATTTCCCATACTTAGGGTTCTATTTTACATGGTCGATGAGGTTTATGACTGAAGGCAATAGTGCAATCTGGAAGGATATTTTTTTTAAAGAAGCCTGGAGTTCCTTGTAAATAGTTGACTCTAATTTGAATATCAGATTCATGGTAAAATAAGGGGGTCTTAGAGTGACATGATATGTAATTGGGCATTCTAATTATCTTGTTTGAGGAAACCCTATCGAGTTCCATGATAAAAGATAAGCTGGAAAGTTTGATTTGAGGACAGTGACAAGTGATTTTTTCTTATTCTGATGGGCTGTTTCTGAAATCATTATAACTTGAAAAATAATGCCGTGGAAAGTGTTTTAGGCCTATGATGAAAAACAAGATGTGAAATGTGAAAGCATGAGCCCCATTTGATTTGCCTTCACTTTTGGAGAAGGGGCAAGGCAAGATAAAATTAGGAATTTTGATAAAATTAATGTGATTTTATCTTTATTTTTAATTTAGACTATTCAAGTTAGGGTTGTTTTAGTAATTTATGAGGGTTTATCCAGTAGTAGAGTTTGATTAGGTTTTATTTCACTGCCTATATATATAGGGCTTGATACATTGAGTTGGACAGTTTTTATTTTTATTTATTTATATTTTTTTATTACGATAATTGAATATAAAATTGAGTTTTTAGGGTTTATTTGGTAGTAGAGTTTGATTAGGGTTTATTTCCCTTCCTATATACATAGGGCTTGATTTTTTGAATAAAAAAATATGTAGGGCTTGATACATTGAGTAGATAGTTACTTGTGATAATTGAATATAAAAATTGAGTTGATTACGTAGATTTGTCTCCCTATTTCTTCATCCCTCATATTCTCCCTCTTTCTCCTCTCTTCTCTCGTCTTCTCTTTCTCATTCTCTTCTGCATCGAATTAGTATTCAAACAGCCCCACCTGTCTTGCTTTAGGTGGTATCAGAATGAAGGATCCAATTTTATTCTGAGCGCAATGATCAAATTATATCGAGTGTTGTTAAAGGCAGCGCCTGTTGTCATCCCAGGCTCACTTATGTTTACTAGGCACGCGCCTTGGTAGCGCCTCGTCTTATTTGTCAGGCGCCTTTTTTTTTTTTTTTAAATGATTATTCTATTTCTTAAGCCAAAAAGGGTGTTTTTGGCAACTTAATAACCAAATAAGAAAAGCCTAAGCATATGAGCGAAGGAACTTTTGTTCAAAAGAAATAAGAAAGTCCAAGAGTCAGTGTTAACCGAACATAGAAAGAGCGAGACTGTGAGACCAACAACGAAGCCCTAGTTGTAGAGACGAATGAACGACGAATCCATGTCAGTCCTTTCTTTTTCTTCTCTCTTTTCTCCTCTACTCCTCTCTTCTCATCTTTGTTTACTTCTCTCTTCGTCTAGTTCTCTTCTCTCTCTGTCCTTTTTTTGTTTGGGCTCTGTTTTTTCTCCTTTTTCTTCTTTAATACTCCCTCTCTCTTCTCATTTACTCTCTCTCTTCATCTACTTCTTTTGCCTCTGCCACTTTTTTTCTTGGCTCTTTTTTTTCTTCCTTCTCTTGTTAATAGTTTTTTTTTTTTTTTTTTTTTTTTTTTTTTTTTTTTTTATATAAATAGATTTATTCCTTTTGCTCTCTGTTTTGCCTTTCAAAAAAACAAATTCTATTTTGCCTTTCAAGAAAACAAATTTGTGCTCTGTTTTATGGTTCTAGAATGCTTATAGGGTTGATGGATTTAATTTTTTTATATTGATATGACTTATGAGATATGAGTGCTTTTACGGTAATTTAGAATTTCAATTGTGCGCCTCACATGACTCAGGCGCATGCCTAGGCTCCAAAGGACCTTTAGCGCCTTGAGCCTTTAATAACACTGAGTATATGAGAGCAAAAGGTCCAAGCACTCTCTCATTGTTCACACTCCTACTCCTCACTCAGCCTGCGGCCACCCCCCCAATACCAAAAAAAAAAAAAAAAAAAAAAAAATGTAATTAATGCTTTGGACTTTGGTGAACGTACATGCACTTCACTCAAAAATTGTAATGAAATTTGCAGAAGGTCCTAATTGACACACTTAGTCACTGTACCATTTATTTGCTTCGTTTAGTCCTTACTTCTTTTCATTACCCATCATGCTGTGTCTCTGCTATCACCACACCCACTTTTATTTTTTACTTTCTATTTTCATTTTGAATTTTGCAACTAAACACCTGCAACCAGTGCTTGAATCTTGGTCCAGTCACTTTCATTTCATTGTATATCCTTGCTTCTTCATTGTGGTAAATCACAATTTTGTGTACTTCATTCAATTTGTCAAATATTGGCATGTTGTTCTTAACCATTTTCACACCCACCGATTCCATTAGGCCATCATATGAGACATGTCCAAGTCCAAATTTACAATGGAACTGAAAACTGAAACAACAGAACATGTCATGGGTGTCGTAAATGATTCAATACACCAACTTTATGAGAAGTTTGCACACATGTTTGGGAAAACATCTTGTTGACAGTGTTAGTTATCATCATCCTTTGAAGCCAATATACTCCATCGTGGACTTCTTTGCAAACCCATACAATCTCAAGGCCATCAGGTGCAAGACACCAACCTTAGGAAAAGTCTAGGTCAAAATCCTACTAAGAAATTTGCAGTTATCCATTTGAGTACTAGATGACCTGGTTGAAATTGGACCATTCCTTGAATGCATGAAAATTCAGATGAAGGATGAGACTTGCAATAATGACACAATATGCATGCTACCTACCCTTATTGGAAAAGATGACTAGATGTTTATAACATATTTTGCACATATCTCAAATGTGGAGATACAGTTCTATAAAATGAGTATTGACGGAGGAAGTTTTATAATCACAGTTTCAAATTCAGGTGTCGCTAGAATGAAATTTCAACCTAAACCCCATCCTCAACCCTATGGAATGACTCGGATTGATGACCTAATCGAGTTTGCTTATACTTTTTATTTTTTATATTTTTATAATGGAGTATGCTTGTACTAGTTTGATCAGTTAGTCTACCAGTAACTGTTCTTTCTAGATTGACCATAATATTTACCCGTGCTAGTCCATTGGTCATATTCCTTCGCCTCCAAGTTTGTGTTTGTTTCATTTTTTTGATTTTTTTGTTCAACTTGTTCATGATTTTCGTGCTGATATGTGACGACTAGTTGTTTTGAGTAGTAAAATTTATGAATTTGCTACATATGTCCATAATTTGAATTGTAAATTTAATGATGCAGAATATGGTATAGTTTGTGTTCCATAACCTTATCTCAAGAACTCCTTCCAGCCGTTCTCACATCATTCACAAATCAGGACCTAATGCATATTTATTTGACTTGTCATTAGATATGAGTACTAATTCAGTTTTTGGTGTGGAGTATTTGATACCTGACAGAGACACCTAAAACTCTGAGAACTGTGTTTGCGAATTTTGCTTATTGGTAAATTCAAAATTTATTACTGAGAGAGGTGCCTAATGGTGACAGTAAATACTGGTTGCAGATTTCAGATGTCCTATGTGATGCTGGAAAACATTGTGGCGTGAAGTCAGTTTGTATATATGGAGGAACTTCTAAAGCACCACAGATATCTTCTCTAAAATCTGGTGTTGTAAGTTTACTTTTCCTGATCTATAATACTATCCTGGCTGTTGACCTTGATGGTTATGCAAATCACATTCCTTTTCACTATATCCTTGGTAATTTGGTGCAATATGCAACTTTCTGTGGAAGATTAAGATCAAACTCTGCCTTCTGAATTAAAAATAGTATTTTTAACAGTAAATATACTGCTTATTACCATGTCTGTTTGGAACTTTGGACTGTTCGAATTCTCTTTCTTTACAAAAATCTATAGAGACGAGTAATTCCCGCGTGTTTTGCAATGCAATAGATTTGTACTTCCATTTATAAAGTGTCTTAATATGTGTATAATGTGTATTTCATACATTTTGGTTTTGCTTTAGGTGCTTACCTTTATCGCACATGTAATACTCTCTCTCTCTCTCTCTCAGGATATTGTTATTGCAACTCCTGGCCGTTTGAAGGACTTGATTGAAATGGGTGTATGCTACCTAAAGGAGGTGTCTTTTGTGGTAAGTATATTCTTGGTACAAGGGCTGCCAAGTGGTTATTTGAACTTAATTTCTTTTCTTTATAAATTGTTACTGTCAGACTGTCAGTGCTCCTTTTTATTTTACTGATGAAATAGAAAAAAAGCTATCTGTATGCTTTAGGTATTAATGGATTATTTTCAGTTTTTTCCTTCATTGTTGAGCAACAAAGTAATGGGATAGTTCTAATACTCTCTTTTAGGTAGCGAATAGGTTGGAATCGTTGTTCACAATTTGTTTTTGGAGTGTGATATTAATATATGACTATTTGGAAGTTTAGGGTTGCATGGAAATGCTTGAAGCACAAAACAGTTCTCTCTAGAAACAGGAGCCAAAAACATGTGTTTGAGTATACTACACCCAGAGAAATGACATGTTATAGCTGATTCGGAGAAGGGAGGTTATACATTGGGTTTTGAGATTCACAATATGTATTTAATGGTGATGACGAGTTTGTAGCTTGAGAAATGTGATTACTTCAGGTTAAACAATTTAAATATTAAAGTTACACCCTCTCTAAACAGCTTAAGATTTTAGAGTAGATGGTTGTTAACATGGTATTAGAGCCCTCAAGGTCCTGTGTTGAAACCTCACCGACACCCTGATAATTGAAATTGGAACACGCGTTGACCAAAGGAAAGCCACATGTGAGAAATTGTGTTGAAGGATTTAAATATTAAAGTTACACCCTCTCTTACATTTGAAGCTTCGAGTAGATGGCTGATAACACTTTATTACACCTCTTAACAGAAGAAAATCCCAAAAGAGAAAGTTGTCAGAATTGAGTTTGGTTATTCATTTCATAGTTTTGCAGGAGCTGCATAAATAGCAAATTGAGTGGTTAGTATTTTCAAGATAACATACAGTATTTCAGGAAACTATCAACCAAATGATTTTTCGAACTTTTTTTGTTTTTTATTTTTTTATTCTATGTTTTTCTAGTTCTTGCAGAGTAGAAAACTATTCCCCTAAAATTGAGCCATACAGGCCCTACATTTCTCTAGATTTATTGAATATTTAAGGAAGGTGAACAAATTATAAAAATTTCAATTTTTGTAATTTATCATACTTTTAATAACTTTATGTATTATTACGATTAATTGATATGTTTATGAAGTAATTATGGTGCCATGGTTCATATCATGGAGACAAAACTGTTAATTTAGTTAGCAACGTCCTGAAAATGATTTATTTTATTATTTACTCAACAGTCCAGATTTAGCATTCCCCATTTGGAGAAGTAGGTCTGATGTAGGGTATCTGGACGAATTAATTAATGTGAGGCTGTGAGCTATTAGTGGATGAAAAATTATGGTGCGCTATTACTAGATATATAGTCTTTTCTTAGTTGAGTTATCGGTGAGCCACCTCTTTAACAAATATGATACAAAGTGGTGGGCTTCTCTATTCATCTGTAGTTAGATCATGTGCATGAAACTTGATTTGAGGCAACAACCCCGTTTACCATTACCCTTTCTGTAGGCAGCAATGAAAACTTCTAGAAAATTTTGGTAGTACTGCGGAAGTGTTTCCGAAGCTCCTCATTTTAAGTTTCTGTTTTCGTTATTGATTTTCCACTTCTGCTAACTGTATTTTGGCTACATAAAAGACATTAGTTAATTTTTTGTGCTTACGTTCTCTAGTTTGAAAGGAGGTGTTGAAGGACTATCCACTAGATAGAGTTGTTGGAAGGATACCAGAGATGATGTAAATGTCTTGCAAGGTTTTGATGCAGCAGATGGTGCTTCCAGCCTTATATATGCATGTATGGAGAATTAGAGAACCATTGTGATGTGTTATGAATTCACTATATACTGGTGTTGCATTTAGGAATTGAAGGAATGGCTGGTCGGGTTAATGGAAGTCGGTCCTAATGACCTTAGGTGGCTAAAGAAGGAAGGCTTATGGTTGGACTGACTCAACGAAGCATGCTGGAATGCAAGTGTGTTTAGGTGTTTGGTATGTGTAATCCTTTAATCTTCTGATATGGAGACGTGCCTGGATTACCACTATGAATAATTTATATTCATCATTACTGTGGAGTAAAATGAATATTCTGTAACCGCTTCTTCAACATCAGTACCGACACTCGTAGCTAATATGAAACTTTAAGTTAACGAGATTTTTGTTCTTTAATTCTTCAGTGGCTAGTCTTGCTTGGGATGTATTTGACGGTAAATGTGATGCAGAATAGTCAATAAAATCAGAGGTAGGCGGGTCTGCTTCGGTAAAGGATGTTAAAGATTTGTAGATAGAGTAACAAAGATGAAAAATATGGTCAAAAGATTTGTCTTTTGATTTGGGGGGATGGGAATGAAGGGGAATTTTCTTCCTTAATGCTATGTTTGGTTGGAGGGAAGGATTGAGGATGGATGGATGTGAGGGGCGATAAAATAAGTTTTTTGTGTTTGGTTGAAAGGAAGGGAAAAGAGGGAGGAAGCAAGGAGCTCTCTCTCTCCTCTTCCCCCAAATTTGGGCAAATAGAAAATCATCCCTCCTTGATTTGTAATTTTATATCCCCCAAATCTCTCCTTGCTTTGTGATTTTCTATCCGCCCAAATTTGGGGGAAGAGGAGAGAGAAAGCAGGATAATAACCAAGTTTTAAATTCAATTTTTAACCTTGTTGTTGCATAATTTAGAATGGATATATTTTTTTTATAATTTTATATAATTAGGGTATCTTAGTAAAAACAAAATAAAACTCTTCCAACCCAAAAATAAAAAATAAAAAAGTGTCACCACATCCATCATTTCTACTATCCATTCCATCCAACCAAACAAAAAATGAGGGGGACACCTTCCCTTCCCTAGGGATGCCTCATCCATCCCTCCCCCTCTCCGTTCCATCCATTTTTCCATCCCTCCAACCGAACGAAGCATAAAGAATAACCTTTAACTTTTGCAAAAACTGATTAAAATTTTTTTTTCCTAGTTGGTACTCACGCACACGTCTTTTTCGAGACTTGAACCTCTGACCTCCCTTTGGGAAGTGTAAGAGGCTATTACTGCTAGACCATTGACGTTGGTCAAAAAAAAAAAAAACTGATTACAAGTTACAACTCCTTAGATTAACTTATTTGACATATTAAGCAAATTCAAATCCTAGCCCATTAAGGTGTTGTTTGATAAAACTGAAAATTAAGGGTTGAAAATTTTAAGAGCTGAATTTTAATTTTTAAGTACTGAAGTTTTCAAGTGGTAACTAAAAAACAAATATTTTTTAAAATGTCAAGCGTTCAACATTCAGTGATACGTGATGTCTTTGTCACTTAAAACTTATACTCCATTTTAAGTTGTGCTTAGCATTTTCAGTAATATTCAAATTGCGTTATCAAATGCACTTAATTGAATAAGCGTTGAATTGAGTTATCAAACAGAACAAGGATAAAACACAATTTTTTTTTTTCATAAGTATGAATAAAACACATTTACTTTAACCTATATTTTTGAAGAGAGAGAGTAGTTTCTAAGCTGTGATGATAGAGTAATCCAACTTCTTGAAGCAACAAGCACCAAAACCAGAGAGGGCAAATAACTGGTTAATACTTAATACCCTTTAACTTTTTTTTTTTTTTTTGATTTTTTATAATATATAGGTCTCTGCCGCTTGGGTAGGGATCCTTTTTTGTTGGCACCTGCTAGTTTGTGATACATGGATATTCTCCAGTTTTCTTCTAAGGTTCAATGTCCACATGACATGAGTGTGAGTATGGGGTATGTGTGTGATACAGGAACTTATAGTTAGAGAGAGTGTCCTAGTTCTTTTACAGAGAGATAGATAAAAACTCCATCCTATACCACATTATATTTAATTTAAATTCTTACAAGTATATCCTTAAAGAACAATAGCGTTGTACATTGAACTTGTAATGTATCGAGATATGCAAGTTGTATCTATGTACTTGGATAGTATACAACTTTTAAACACATTCCAAGCGGATCCCAAAACAGGTACTTCAATTTCTTGCAGTTGGTAGCTTTTAGAGACTTACCTCTATGTTTGTTGCTTTGATATGGCTATTTTGATAAATAGATTGCGTGCATGCTATTTCAGCCCTCTCCAACATTTTCTCACAACTATGATTCTTCCATGTAGGTTCTAGATGAAGCTGATCGAATGCTTGATATGGGATTTGAACCAGAAGTTCGCTCTATACTAAGCCAAACATGTCGCGGTATGACATATAATTTATTGTTATCTTTTTAGTTATATTTCTTACTATGTAATATTTTCTCCCTATTTTTTTTTGGGGACAATAATTACTATTTGGGTTAAGTGGAAGTAACCCTCCTTTAAGCAGATGACTCGATAGCCCAGTGGGTTAGTGCCTCCGATGGACTTTGGAGTGCCAAGCTTTGACTCTCTGCATCTATTAATTTAACTTCTAACACTTTATGCCTTGAAAAAGAAAAAAAAAGGTGTCACACACTGTATACTACAAGATGGTTATTTGCACAATATCATATCACATGGGTTTACATGCACTAATCCATATTACATGGAGGTTTTTAACACCATTACCAAACAGATACAAGGGGGCAATACGCAATATTTCAATATTATAGGTAGTCTTTTGTCAGGAATAGTGCAAGGCTTCTAACGTGTTACCGTAATAGATATTGGGGGTGATATGAATTATTTCTATATTATAGGAGGCTTTTTGCGAAGAATAGTGCAAGTTGCGATTAGTTTTCAAGGGATGGTGTTAGTCCCAAAGGTGATGGAAGGGATACACGCTCTATTTCTATATTACATGGGTGTTTTTTTTTTTTTTTTTACAATTCTTCTTGATATCATATTTTTTTTTTTTTTTTTTTTTTTGATAAGTAAAAATATATTAACAAAAATGCTCAGAGGGGAGCAAACCCTTAACAAAGCAAACAAAATACGCAAAATGCGCCATTACAACGATAAGTTGTCAACAAACTCCAAAAAGCTATCTACAGATGGGCAATTTTTCCCATTAACCCAAGAATAAAGAGAATGCAAAGTATTCGCCTTAATAACCCAAACTAGCGACTCCTTTCCCTCGAAAGATCTCTTGTTCCACTTGTGCCACAGCTCCCACCAAATACAAAGAGGTGCAACCCTCCACGCCTTCCCAACTCGACTTCCCACTTGCCTCCCTCTCCAAGCTTCTAACATATCCATCCTGTTACTTGACACCACCCAGTCTACCCCAAAAACATTCAAGACCAAACTCCAAACATCCGCTGCCACTTTATAGTGCAGCAAGAGATGATTAATCGACTTGCCCGCCTTCTTACACATGCAACACCAATTAACTGTTATTTGGCGCCTTTTTCTGAGATTGTCAAGAGTAAGAATGCTGCCAAGCACCACTATCCACGTGAAGAAAGCCACCTTCAGTGGAGCTGAAGTCCTCCATACAGCCTTCCAAGGGAAACCGTTGCTTATCGAATTCCTAAGACTTTGCTAAAACAACCTCACCTTAAACACCCCTCTAGAATCCCCCATCCACACCATCTCATCCCTTCTTTCCCCCTCCACCACTTGACTATAAATTAATCCCATTAATTCGGTAAACTCCAACAACTCCCAATCATTAAAATTTCTGCGAAATCTCACATCCCAACTAGCTCTCCGATTCTCTAGCCTAAAATAATCTGCCACCACTGTATGCTTCTTCTCAACCATCCTAAAGAGTCTAGGAAACCTACGAGCCAACACCACATCCCCACACCAAACATCCGTCCAAAACCTCACATAACGACCATTCCTAACTCTAAACCATATCTGCTTAGAGAATTCGTCCCAACCCCTCCTAATACCTTTCCATGAACCCATACCTGCTGATGAAGTCACACCTCTAGACATCCAACCTCCCTCCTCTTCCCCAAACTGACAAGCAATAATACACCTCCAAAGCACTGACCTTTCACACCCAAATCTCCAAAGCCATTTCCCTAATAGAGCTTTGTTAAACATTTCTAACCTGCGAATCCCCGAGCCTCCTCTTTGAATCGAGGTGCACGCTTTCTCCCATTTCACAAGGTGATACCCCCCCCCCCCCCCCCCCCCCCCCCCAACAAAAAAAAAAAAAAAAAAAAAAAACACACAAAAAGTTCCCCTAAATCTTATTAAGTCTACTAATCACTGTTATAGGGATTGGAAACAAAGACATGAAATAAGTAGGAAGATTAGAGAGGGTACTCTTCAGCAATGTAAGGTTACCCCCTTTTGACAAGTATTGCTTCTTCTACCCAGATAACCTCTTTTGAAAACGTTCCACCACTGGATCCCAAACGGCAAATCTCCTTGTGGAAGCACCCAATGGTAGCCCCAAATAAGAAAATGGACAAGCCTCCACTCCGCAACCCAAAATAGCTGCCAACTCATGAATATGATCCAAATCCCTTACTGGAACAATCACACTCTTCCCAATATTAATCTTCAGCCTCGAAACCACTTGAAAACATGCCAAAACACACCTCAAGTGTCTCACTTGATTCACACTCACATCACAAAAAACAGTAGTGTCGTTAGCAAACAGCAAGTGAGATGTAACAATCTGATTTGGCACACGCCTCACCAAAAAACCTTGAATAAAGTCCAGTACCTCTGTCCTTTTCATGAGTCTACTAAAGGCTTCCATTACAATAATGAATAGAAAAGGGGACAATGGGTCCCCTTGACATAAACCTCTCGAACTTGCAAAGAAGCCTGCTGGTGACCCATTCACTAAGATAGAAAACCGAGCCATCGAAATACATTGATGAATCCACCCTCTCCATTTGGTTCCAAACCCCATCCTCTCCAACACATACAATAAAAGCACCCAATTCACATGGTCATATGCTTTTCTATGTCCATTTTACACACAATCCCCGGTTCACCACTCTTGACTCTAGCATCAAAACATTCACTAGCAATAAGAACCAGGTCGAGAATTTGCCTTCCTAAACAAATGCATTTTGAGACTCCGAAATGATCCCATCCAACACTTTCCTTAACCTAATAGCCAGAATCTTCGCAATAATCTTATAAACAGAGCCCACCAAACTAATTGGTCTGAAATCCTTAGCTTCAACCGCTCCACCACCTCCCAATTCTTTTCGAAGAACGCAATTGTAGACCCATCCAGCCCCAGAGCTTTATCTCCATCACAGCTCCTAAGAGCTTCCAGCACTTCCTCCTCCCTAAACGGCCTCTCCAAAACCACTCTATCCTCATCAGAAATTATATCAAACTCAATGTCATCCAACCCCGGCCTCCAAGAGACAGACTCTGTGAACCGCTCCTGATAAAATGCCACAAACCCTGTCCGGATCTCCCATAGTTGTTAAAGGCTCAAGGCGCACAAAAGCGCAAATGCCTCCTGGAGCCTGAGGCGCAAGGCGCAAGGCGAGGCACGCGCCTGACTGAATTAAAGCGCACGTTGAAAAAAAAAAAAAAAAAAAAACCTACCCAATAAAGTTTTAAAGATGCAATAGTATATATAAAGATGCAAAAGTCAACTAAATTGGTGACAAGGTTAATTTGGTAAGTGTAGACTGATGTACCTTCAACCTTGATCTTATATTGGTGACAAGGTTAATTTAATGATGCAATGAAGACCTGCAGTTGTGTGTGTGAAAGACTGTGCAATTGGGATTACAAGGAATGGGTGATGTGATGATCCAAGTGTGTTCAACTAAAGAAATTTCATGCACAAAGCAGAAACGCATTGATTGTTCTATATAAAGTATGAAGTAAAGAGATTCGGATTATTTTTTTGACAAATTTAGGTGAGTAAGCCAACTGCCAACACATCATTATCTCACTAATTATCATTATTCACTAATTATCGGCATATTAGAAAGATGAGGCAAAATAAATTGCGACACAATTAAGTTGAATCAACGAACTAGATTACTAGAATCCATTAAATCAACAAATTAAAAATATCAGTTACACGCATATCTCATTTGGAATATATCCTATTAAATCCACAAAATTAGAAATAGGAAAGTTAAATTAGAGAGAGCCGAGAGAAGAAGAATAGAGGGAAAATAAATAAATAAATAAAAGAAGAGAAGAGACTAGAGAGAGCCAAGAGAAGAAGAATAGAGAAAAAAATAAAAATAAAAATAAAAACGAAGAGCCTAGACTCGGCTCAAAGAAGGAAAAAAAAAAAAAAAAAAAAAAATGAGCCTAGACTCGGCTCAAGGAAGAATAGAGAAAAAAAAAAAGAAAAAAAAGAAGAGCCTAGACTCGGCTCAAAGAAGAATAAAATAAAATAAAAAAATAAAAAGAAGAGCAAGAAACTAGAGTCACTAGAGCCGAGAGAAGAAGAAGAACTGAAGAAAAGAAGAAGAAAAGAGAAAAAAAAAGAAAATACCGAGAACTGAGAAGAGAAGAAGAAGCAAGAAGGAGAGAAGGAGAGAAGAAGAAGAGAGGGAAGGAGAACTTATCAGGCTTCGGCGCAGATGCAGATCCGGCAGATCCAGTCTTCGGCGCTTCGCAGATCACTCGTACTTCTGTCTCTTGAGTCTTGACTCTCTTCTTTCCACTTTTACTTTTATTTATTTATTTATTTATTTTTATGCTTTGTAACTTGCAAGTTGTATAGATTTTGTAATAAACAAATAAAAACTACAAATAAACAAATAATAAACATATACAAGTAACACAACCAAGATAATTAAAAAAAAAAAAAAAAAAACCCATTTTTCACACAGGCGCGCCTGCATCTCGCCTGTAGCCTTGTGCCTTTGTCTAAGAGGCGCGCGCCTATCCCAAACCACTCGCCTTAAGTCAATATAGGCGCCAAGGTGGCGCCTTGTGCCTCAGGCGTGCGCCTTCGGCACCTTTAACAACTATGGGATCTCCTCTTCAGTTTCAGCCATGACACCATCAAAACTTATCCTCCCAATGCTGTTCCCTCTTCTATGAGCATTAGCTAATCGGTGAAAAAACTGAGTATTTCGATCACCTTCTTTAAGCTACAGGGCTCTCGACTTCTGTCTCCACGAAACTTCCTCCATCACTGCAATCTCTTCAAACTCAGCCTTGCACTCCTCCCGTCTACTCCTCTCCAACACTGAAATCCCCTCAGCCCCTTCCTTTCTATCCAACTCTGAAATTTCCAAAAGTAGCTGATTTTTCCTCCACTCCAACTTACCAAACACATCCTTATTCCAAACCTTAATGTCGCCCTTTAAGTATCTCAGCTCAGTTGCCAATTGAACGCTTGGATTACTCCTAACATCATAAGTATCTCCTTGATATCATATCTGAATAATTGTTTGTGAAAAATCGAAAATAAACACGTGTCATACCCTGTGTGCTCACGCCTACGCGGGTTGCTGGGTGAGAGAGACTGAAGAAGAATCTAACATTTGGCTTTATTTTTTGCACTAACTGAGTTCTGTCAGAATCTGATACACGTCCTCCATTGCACCCTTGCCTATGCCTCATTTCTTTTTCAGAATATGTTTTCGATAATATCTTTGGTTCTGGATGGGTTTCAATGAATTTTTCTTGTATTCGTTGGTCATTGACTTCTTATTGTAACATATCTTGCATGAGGAATCTAATGGCTTTTAGCTTCTTTATGCACTTACCCTATTAGAGTTGTAATTATCGTTCTCGCTTCTGTCCCGACGCTTCTTTTATCGCGCCAATCTCTATCTTGTATATTTGTATTTCATTTACGGTAATGGAAATTTACTGTTTTTCGAAATAGAAGCTGGCTCTTCTTTCCATCTTGTGTGGTTTTTTTTTCATGGTAGGCCATTATAATGTCTCATAGCTGACCCCAAGTAGTTGTGAAAAGGCTTTGTTTTTGTTTTGTTTATGCTGTTGTAGGACAAGATAATGTCTCTATTTGGTACAAGTACAACATTTAACTAATTAATAAGCATGCTTCCCAAAATTCTTTCCATAGCTTTAAAGTGGACTGATACAGCATTTTGTTATTTAACAGTTAGTTTCCTATTTTCTATTTTCAAGCATATATAAATAAATATATATATATATATAGTTAATATTTGAATTAGCATAGCAATCTGGCAAATTTATATTTTTTGGGAGGTTCAAAACTACCGAATCTTTGCAGATCGCCAGATGGTAATGTTCAGTGCAACATGGCCTCTACCTGTTCATCAATTAGCTCAAGAATTCATGGATCGCCATCCAGTTAAGGTGTGAATATTTTATATTGTAACAACTTTATCTAACTTCTCTTACTTCTTTGTATAATAAAATGAACTTTTCATTTCAGGTGGTTGTTGGTTCAGAGGATTTAGCTGCTAACCATGATGTCATGCAGATAATAGAGGTATGTTTAGTCAGCAGCCTAGATAATGAAGGACTTGAGTAACTAAGTAAGCATCACACTGTTTCGGATTTAATTTTCACTTTTGCAGGTCTTGGATGATCGATCCCGTGATGAACGTTTACTCTGTTTGCTAGAGAAGTACCACAAGTCCCGAAGGTATATATATATATATGTTGTTAATCATTGACAGATATTTATAACCTCATGGAGGATTTTTATCCAATATTTCTTCTTGTGGTCAACAAATTACTTGAAAATATTGATTAATTTAAGTGTCTTCATATGCCATGTTTTCCGTCATAATTACGTTTTTCTATTCTCAGTTTTAATTTTTTATTATTTGGATACGGCAAGCAGCAACATTGTTATTGGCGAACATGTCACTTTTTTGTTCTATTTTATTTTGTTTTTTATGTTGTAACCTGTCATACTTGGAACTCATATCAAATCCATTGTTTTAGTCAACAGTGAATGGTGTTGAGTGGCCTATATTATGATTTATGTGGTTTTCTTTTCTCAAAAAATCTTGACCATGTCCTTTTGAGTTTGGTTGTATACTCAATGCTGATATCATGCTTTTTCTTTTGAGCAGGAATAGGGTATTGGTTTTTGTTTTGTACAAGAAGGAAGCAGCTCGTGTAGAAAATATGCTGCAAAAAAGGTGACTTGTTATTTTTTCCCCCCACACAATTTCTGGTTGGGTCGAAGCAAGTTAATGAGTTGTTGCTATTGAATTTCCAGATAAAAACATATATTCGTGAAAACCATAATACAGGATCTTGTTTGTTTAAATTTTTTCCGCTCTGATTCTCATCTCCTTTTGGTTTCTAGGGGTTGGAAAGCTGTATCTATAAGTGGTGACAAAGCACAACATGCACGTACGAAGGCGCTATCACTATTCAAGGAGGGAAGCTCTCCTTTAATGGTATGTGGTTGTTTTGGATGATTATTGGTGACACTTATGCTAAGCAGCTTTTCGGTGCATAAATTTCAATTTTCTGGTCTTTGCATTCCTGTAAAGTTTTTGTGATTTAAGAAACAATACATCTCTACATGTTTTCTTCGACGTGGTTCAATGATTTGGTTTAAGAAAACAATATATGATCAAAGAGTCTTCAAAAGGACAAGGTCCCAGTAATTCAAAATCATAGAGACAGTATTTCATGCTCTGAATTAAGATATGATACACTCCCATCACTTTTGGGCTTTTTATTTTATTTTATTCTTTTTGACCAAGGATGGTTACAAACTTGGGTCACAAATGATATATGACTTGGACATACCATTATGACTTATCCTAGAAACATAGGGTGCGGACACTATGGGTATTAAAATCTATTTTGATCCTCACTTTTGATCGTCTTAGTAGTATTAAAATCTCTAATTTTTCTGTCCCGTCACCACAGGTAATATGTGAGAAAAATTCATGTAGTATGCCCTCAATAGTATTGATTTATCTTTGGCATTTTTACTGATCTTCAAAAACTTGGTTTTCCTTAATTCTTAATTTCTGCAGATAGCAACTGATGTGGCTGCTCGAGGATTGGATATTCCCGATGTTGAAGTAGTGATAAACTACAGTTTCCCACTTACCACAGAGGATTATGTTCACAGAATAGGAAGGACAGGACGGGCTGGTAAAAAGGGTGTTGCCCACACATTTTTCACTAAAGAAAACAAGGTACTGATTTTGAAATTGTAATGGATCATTCAGGCTTGAATTTCTAAATTGAGCTACGTTGGTTCATGTGTTGACCAATTCTGATGTTGGACAATGGGTATCACTGCAGGGCCTTGCGGGGGAGCTGGTAAATGTTCTCAGAGAAGCAGGCCAGGTTGTACCTACTGCGCTTTTAAACTTTGGCACTCATGTTAAGAAAAAGGTCTGTATTGCTTTTCTGTACAATCTTCTGTGATTTTCTCTTGTCTGTTTACGTGTGTGCCTGTCACGCCCGAACCTCATTACTTAAAACCATACAAAAATCAACTGTACATTTGAGGTACGATTCTGAATCCTTGAAAAATATGCAATCATGCTAATATTCTTCCAATAGATTAGTATGTAATTTATTCTTTTCCAAATCTTTACCAACCCTTTTTAATTTACACTTCAATATTTTTACATTTCAGAATATCCAACTTCACAAAAAAAATTACATACGCAGTGACTGGAAATCTCAAAAGTCTAAACTTGTAGTTTCTCCATGTCACTGAACATATTCCTAATTCCACGTTCCTTCAATTCCATAACCCGAGTAGTAGTGAGGCACCGAGAGAAGGGTGAGATTGGAGAAACCTAGTTAGAGACCTTTTGTTCCGAATTCATACTAGTTTGTACAATAAAATAGATATTCATACTATCAGTTAAATAAAACAATGTATAGTAATATAGATTGCATAACCAATCTCATTTTCATTCATTATCCATTTTTTTGAATCAAAATATATTTTTTCATCAACAACCATTCCCTTGCATGTGTCATGTGATCCTGGAAGGCATTCCTTTTATAGGAGGCATCCCTTCTAGGAAATCCATGTGATTGTTGTGAGTCGCTTACAACAGTCACTTGGTCGTTCTAACTATTGACTATAATCAGACATTCGACATCACAGGCTCTATCACATACCCACATACGAGAAGTCTAGAGTTTTTCTAATCCATTTATTTTCAATAGTCCCATGCTCAAAACATATATGCAATTCTTCATCCAAGTTGGAACTCATATAAACAATAACCAAATGTTTTCGAGATACTTCCATAACTTGGCGACTGACAGATACTGAAATGATAGAACATTTGATGAACATTTTTTTATATGTCTAGCGCTATATATGTTAACATTTTTTGTTGACTATGATTATCCTCTAAAAACCTGGATATTATCTTGCTGCTCTATTTGTAATATAAAAAAATTAAAATTGAAACTACGAAGATAGTAAATAAAGCTGAAGAAAATCCATTAACTGATTTATATGACAAAATGTATACAAGAGGGTGAAAAAACTATTTATATATGGGCAGAGTGTAACTTATCAAAAAAAAATATATACATTGGCAGAGTGTAGATATTAGGTACGTAAATGCATGGGTCGAATTAAATGTATTAAGGATGTAGAAAAAAAAAAAAAAAAAAAAAATTCGTTCAAGAGAACGATATATTAGTTATATGAAATAATTACTTCCAAAACCTACTAAATGAGTAACACCCTAGAGAAGAGGTGGAAGGAAATGAACTTAATATAAGAATGATAAATACAATCAACAATAAGGAAGTAGCTGATGCACTTAAAAGATGGAGAAAAATAAAATGGGTGGCTGTGATAACATATCTATGGTGGCATGGAAAACTGTGTAAGGTAGGAACTAAGTAGGTAAGAAATTTATTCAGCCAAATTATAAAAGATAGCATGTTGCCGAGTGAAGGGAAAGCATGAGAGTACCAATTTACAAAAATAAAAAGGACATACAAAATTGCAGCCATTATAGAAGATTAAAATAATGAGTGATTCAATTAAACTATAGGAAACAGTGATAAAACAAAGATGAAGGAATCACAAGCAGTTGAAGAATCTAGGAGTAAGCAAAAAGATCTACATTTGATTTTTATGTACTTAAAAAAACATATGATAGGATCCCTGAGAGAGAGAATTTGGTGCGCTTTACAAAAACATATCCCTATAGAGATGTTAAAGATTTTTTAGGATATGTATACGAACACAGAAACTGGTGTTCGCTATATAGGTTGTGAGATTAGTGAGTTTTCAGTAAACTTAGGATTACACCAAGAATCATTACCAAGTGTAATACTTATTTCACAATAATTTTAGATGAAATAATAAAAGATGTAAAAGGTGACATTTCATGCTGCATGTTTTTTGTGGTGACAATGCTATTAGATACTTCAAAAGAAACGACAGCAATATAATTAGAAATGTGGAGAAACGCATTGGATTAAACATGGTTAGACATTATAAGAACTAAAACACAACACATGGAATATAAATTTAATAAGTAGTCAGAAATTAATAATATAATAATCACACTTCATACCAAAAGATTATCCAAAATACGTATTTTCGATATTTTGGATCAATAATACAGAAAGATGGCGAGATAGATGATGATATAATTTGTAGAGTTGGATTTGGTTAGACAAAATGGTTACAGGTTAGTGGTATTTTTTGCAATAAAAGAATAACAAGCAAGTTAAAAAGGAAATTCTATAGAAACAGTTGTTGGGACAATTATGTTATGCAGCAGAGTGTTGGGTTTTAAAAAAGAAACAGAAGCTACACCGTCATGTAGCAGGAATGAGGATTTCAAGACGGATTCTTAGAGTGAGTAGAATAGATGGGAAAAAAATTAGGAGTAGCTCCTATTAGTGATATAGAATAAGAGAGAGTAGATTTAGCTGTGATAGACGTATATAATGAAGACCTATAAATGCAAAAATAAGAAGGGAAATACTAGTTTACATAGAAGGTAAGAGACATAGGGCAATGGGCAACCACAATCAAAATAAGATGAAATTATTAACAATGATTTTACAAAATTAAAGTACAATATTTGAGATGACTTGCAATAGAAAAGAATGGAAAAAGAGAATTCACGTGACCAACCACATTCATATTTAATTAAAGCATTGATGATGATGATGATGCTTCTATTTGAATATTGGCCCAAATTTTTTATAATAGTGGTGATTTACAATCATACTCTTTTCTAACTTCAAATGCATCATTTGTCCTACATTTTGTTTCTGCTAATGTGTTTGATATCCTCCACTGAATTGCTGGTTCTGCATGGATGTTTCCAATTAACAATTGGTGTGTTGGAACTTAGAGTTGATTAACTTGACATGCTTGTCCACCTATGTGTTCCCCCAGTTAAGAAAATATATAAATCCTTTGGCTGTTCAGAATAGTGTGGATCATGCTGTTGTTAGGGATCGTATTTTTCTATCATTTGTTTGATTTTTATTTTGAAATTTCACAGATAGACGTACAAACTTTTCTGAGATGTAGATAGATATTTTTTTGGAAAGGATTGTCATTTCCTAAAACCACTCTTGGTAATCACTTTTCGTTTTGAAAATTGAATCTCTTCCTTGTGTCCACAGATCAAAGATAAATTTGATTTTCTAGCTTTCGAAGAGCAAGCCAAGCTTTTCTAAATTCATTTTTATTATGAAAAGTTGTAGCTTAATTGTGTAGTTAATTGAGCTTGTGTCTTCCATATAATCAAGTGTCAGACTGCACTGAGGATTTTAAGCTTTACTTTAATGATCCGGTGTTAGATGCATGAGACGTCTGAAGTTCATGAACTAGTCTAAATTGTTATGCCTCATATTGGTGCAGTTACGGTTAGGAATTTGAGTTACAAATTTGCTTCTCCTCGTCCTTTATTTATTTATTTTATTTTTGGGAGCATATATTTGTAATTGTGTTTGCAAGTCTTTCATGCATGTGCTGTTTTTTTTAATGCGTCTCTATGTGTTGGATCTGATCTCTGTATACATGAAGTGCAAGATTCCTAAAGCTTGAAGCTTTGGTTGCCATCTCTTCAATTAGTTGTCTTCCTGAGATTGTCAGAGAATCTGAAAGCAATTCTATTCATGCAGTCCACTCAGTTACCACTTCCCACTTTGTAACGTTTGAATCTTTACCCCATTGCAGGAGTCTAAGCTATATGGGGCTCACTTTAGAGAGATTGCAGCAGATGCCCCAAAAGCTACAAAAATAACATTTGTCAACTCGGATGATGAAGATTGACTTCTGAGGTGGACAATTCTTTGTTGTACTGGGCTTTTTTCCAGACGTCATCACCCAATTGCCAAACTAGTACTAGTTGTTTCCAAAACAATGTGCAGCTGGGGAAGGACCTTATGACATTTCACCAGATCACTTGCTTTGACAATAGCCAATGTTGATTTGGTAATCTTGACATCCTTTGAATATGGACCAAAGATGCAGGTTTTACACAAATATATAGATATATATTGCCTTCGTTCGGTTCATTTCTCCATCAAAAGTTGTAGTCTGGTAGCATAGTAAAACTAGCCAACTTGAGCAGCAGCCTCCCACCTTCCACCGGGATATTGTTTCACTAAATTATTGAGAGAGCAACAGAATTTTGTATGATCTTTCTTTCACTAAATAATTTATTGATTATTGGGGCTTATTTAATTTTTCATCTGGATGATAACTGCACTCAAGTTTTGTATGTCCAAACTTTTCTGCACCCTCAGCTTGCAGTAGTACATTGGTTGTTATTTATAACTGTGATAGTATTTTATTTGAAGGGTTAATTACACTCAGCACCAGAGTTCAATCTATTGAAAGTTGGCCTCCTTTTGAACAATGACCTCTTCTCAGTGTGATAAAGTTAACAAACCACATCTGACACAGTGAATTGACATTACCTGACCTATTCAGACGAATTACATTTTTAACCTTTACAAGTCATTTCATTAAACCCAGATACCCTTGCATGCAAAGAAATAAAAAATCAAAAATCAATCAGTGAAAAATGTGGTGAAATCTTCTATCACCACCACCATCCATATACAACCATCATTAGTCTAAGTACCGTAAAAATCCACTTATAACGTCTAAGAATAAATCTCATATATATATATATATATATATTACAAAGATAGAATCACACACGCATATATAATTATATATACATACATATGTGTAATATATTCTACTAACACATCAAAATTCATGTAATTGAATTAAGGGTGGAAGGAAGCAAATGGGCGGAAGGCCAAACCTTCAAGGATTGGACTTGAAGGTGAAGATCTTCTGCTTCGAAGCCCTGTGAGTTCAATTGAGCAAAGGGAATATTCATGAAGTTAAATCCCGAAGTTTGTCCTACAATTGGAAAGAAAAGGTAAATGGCTAAGAAATCAGAAAGGAAAAAGACAAGAAATTATACCAAGTCACAATTTTTTAAAATTTTGGTTTTGTTGGCAATGTGTGTAAAATTCCTCTCCAATATCTGAGGGTGTTTATCCCAATCGAGGAATGGGTACGTGTGTTTCTGTATATATGTAGATCTGCAATTTGATAATTCTATGAATTGCTTGAGTTTTTTAGACGTTGGAGAGAAATTCATGGTTGGATTGGTTAACGTTGAGGTGGTGGTTATGGTGATGGCAGTGGGTTGTGGGGTTAAATTGGGTTTGGTGGTGTGGTTCAGCATGAATTGTTTGAATTTCTGTGGTCTCGGGGTGGGAGTGGTTGAGTGGCAGCAGTGGTGGTGGTGGAAGTGGTGGGAATTGACCAAGGATGGTATGGCCGGGAAGAATGCTGATTGCGAATCACATGTTGTGGAATAAGCGCTGTAATAATATTCCGACGACGCCCGTGAAGAAGATGACGATGTTGGTTGCTGGTCGCGAAAAAGAAACAGAGCTTGTTCTATGTTTGCTAGGGAAGAAGATAAAGTGCACAAGTGGTTCAACCTACGCGCGGTGACGGTGGGGGCGCGTGAGGCTCCTTCCGGTGGCAGTTGGGGCCGAAAAAGGAGTGATCCGACCCCACAGTGCCATCCCCTTCCCCTCGACAATGACAATCTGGAACTCCGCATCATACGCGCCTTGTTGCACATCTTCAACACCGACCACCACGACGATTTACTCTGATTACTCTCAAGGTGTGGCGGTTTCAGATAGTGGCATAGTGGGAGGAGGTGGCAGTGACCATGGTCGGTGACGGTGTGTAGGAGGTTGAGAGGCGGCGGTAGTGGTGGCCATGTTTTTGGGAGCGGTGGTGGTACGTATGGTGAGGACCAAAATGTGGTCAATATTGGGGTATTTTGGTTATTTAAATATTTTAAATTAAAAATTATTATTTTATTAAAAAATAATGCTTATTTTAGGTAGCATAAAACGGAATCTTATGATGAAGTGTTCTAATAAAATATTAGTTAAAAAAAAAAAAATGATTACTACAGGAATATAAATTAATTCTTCCCTCTTTCTTTTTCACGCAATAATATATATCACTTCTCTGTTTTAAATTTAAAATCAAATAATAATTTTTTTAAAAATTTTTTTTGTACATCACCACCATCATAAAATTCACAAAGTATTGATATTTAATACAGTATATACACAATTCAAAATAATACAGTGTTATATAATACAATAATCTGGTCACTGCCACCAGATTAAATAATCAACGAAATAATATGAGAGAAACAATAATATGAGAGAAATAGGATATTGAAAAGGTTAAATAATCAACAAAATAAGTTAAATAATCAACGAAATAATATATGCAAGTTAACAACAGAACATGAATAACTTTGAAGAACTTTTGATTAAAATATGGAACTTACAACTTTAATTTTTGAATACAACACTTTTGTTCTGAGCCAAGCTCCTTGGATGAAGTTAAAGACTTAAACTTAAAAATTACAATTTGAACTGAGAACTTTTGAAACGGAAACTAAAATCTAAACTTGAAAATGAGCATGCCTCCAATGTCTTGAGGAGCTGTTATTTATAGGGCCTCTAAGGAGCCTTGTGGAGCTTTGGATTACTTGGAGATAAGGATGCAGCAGGAGGCCATGTGCAAAGCCTGAAAGGCTGATTTGAGGTGATGTCTTCTAAATGATGCTGGAAGCCATATGCAAAGTCTGAAAGGCTGAATTGAGGTGATGGCCACTGACTTGCCTTGGATTCCTTTTTTTTGAAAAGCTTGTCTGTCATGAACATCGAAAGGTGTTAAAAGCCTGAAAATGGAGAACTGTTGAATAAAATTTTAAACTGTAGTTTTTGCCTTTATTTATTTTTTATTTTTTATTTTTATTTTTATTATTATTTTTTTTTTGTCGCTATGCAGCCGCATTGAATGACCGAGGTCAGAAACTTTTTTGAAATGAAATGATGATTTTTGAGAATATTGTTTACTGGAGCTGTTGGGTAAAAACACCAAAACAGTCATCTTCATTGGGTTGGGCCAGATCTGTTTGGGAACCATGGAAAGAACCTGAGCCTTCACTTCTGTTGGAGCCCAATTTTGAGAAGGCTATGGGATTGACTTGGGCTAGAGCTTCCATGAGGAAGGCTTCATACTGATCTTGGGATTTTGCTGAAGAAAGTTTTGCTTGGGCCTGGCTTTTGGATAGGAGGAAAGCCGAAGACTCTCCTAAGCCAGAACATAATATTGCAGGGTGCTTTGAGAACCATTCAGAAATTGCTTCTGGAGTAACATCTTTGATAAAGAATTGGTCCCACTATTTGACTTTGAAAATCCTTCCTAGAAGAGGAAGATTAGAAGGGGTTTTGAGGATTTGGAATTGCCATAGAACTATCTATGACAATGCGAAATTTGCAAAAAATAAGAATGATTTGGGAAATTCGGAAAGCTCAGGAGGAGCATGGAATTTTTCATTGAAAATTGAAAATCCCTTGGACATCGTTTCAAGGATGATTTCTTGGCAGGGACCAAACATATGCCACCAGTCAATGAACCATCTGGGGACATTTAGATTGAAATTCTTTTGGAAAAGGATAAGCCAGGAATGGCTATAATCCTGATTTTGGAAATAAAAGGTATTGTACCAGGCATCCTGATAGTCCAAATAATTGAAAGTTTGAGGGGTGTGAGGCTGAGAAAATTGCCTCGGAGTATTGATGTTTTTACCCCAGGCTGCTGGAGTAAGGACTTTTTGAATGGTACATGTGGTGTGAGAAATAAAAGACTCATCACCTGGTTTTGAATGAGTTCAAATTTTGATGGAATCAGTGTCCACTAAAATAAACTCATAAAAATTTTGTGTTTTCCGAAATTTGATGTTGGATAATGAAAACCTTTGACAAAATGATTTTGAGAAAGTAAAACTGGGTTTTGGTTAAAAAGCTCTTTTTCAACCACATAAATGGTTGATGAATTTGGTTTTTGAAAATAACGAGATTTTTTGAGAGTGGGATTGTTGACCACCACTTGTTGTGAAACAGATCTTGAGGAAATTTGTTTATCTGATGCTGAAGAAATTGCAGCATAAGTTTTTTGAAGGGTAGGAAAAACTGGTTGTTGGGATTGTAAGTATGCTTGGATGGGGTCATACTGGATTGGGGACATGTCTATGACATGTTGGGGAATTGTGGTTAGGGCTGAAAACTGGTTTGTAATTAATGGAGGTGGACTAGCACACATAACTTCTTCATCTTCCTCGACTTTATCATACCAGGTTTTTTTTGGAAGGGTTCTGAGAAGAGGATGATTGAGCATATGCATCTTTTGTTTTGTGGGGTTTTGTGCTTGCCACTGAGACTCCTCTACCTGTCTTGGGAGGCATAGTAACCACCCCTAAGCTCCTGCTTTTCCCTGCAAAAATTCCCTGGTGAGAAAATTAGGAAGAGAATTGTTTTCTCTTTTTATATATTCAATATCAAAGTGAAATACAGAAAGAATAGCTTGCCATCTGGTGAAAATTTGTTTTGAGGCTATGTTATGAACATCTTTCTTTAAAACAGTTTTTGCAGATTGACAATCAACATGAAGCAAATTTTTTTGATTTAGTAAGTCACTTTGAAATTTTGAAATGCATAAAACTATAGATAAAATTTTCTTTTTGACTGTAGAGTAATTTTGTTGTGCTTGGTTCCATGTGCCAGAAGCGAACTGAACTAGTTGTTCCTTGTCACCTGTTTTTTGTTTTAGGATACCTCCATATCTTAATTCAGATGCATCAGTTTCCACAATTTTGAAGGCTTCTGGATCAGCAATAGATAGGCAAGGAAGGTTTTTTGCTTTGCTTTTAAGGATTCTGACTGTTTTTGTATGCTCATCGGACCATGGGGGAGGGGACTTTTTTAATCTTTGGCGTAGTGGAGCACAAAGAAGGGAAAGATCCTTAAAAAACTCAGAGAGATAATTTAGGCACCCTAAAAATCTTTGAAGCTGGGTTTTGTCTTTAATTTCATTAGGGAATTTATCAGCAAATTGGATGGATCTGTTGATTGGGATGACAGTTCCTTGGTGGATCTGGAAACCTAAGAACCTAATCTTGGTCTGAAACAAAGTTAACTTTGATAAAGAAAGGACTAATCCATTATGCTTGATGGTTTGAGCAAAGACATTGAGATGTTTCCAATGAGCATCTATAGAAGAAGAAAATATTAGTATATCATCAATATAAATAATTGAAAAATTCGTAAGATGAATAG